ATCACTTGAGGTCAGGAGTTCGAGATCAGCCTGGCCAACATGGTGAAATCCCATCTCTACTAAAAATACAAAAATTAGCTGGGCATGGTGGCGGGCCCCTGTAATCCTAGCTACTTGGGAGTCTGAGGCAGGAGAATCACTTGAACCTGGGAAGCAGAGGTTGCAGTGAGGTGAGCTGAGATTGCACCACTGCACTGCAGCCTGGGGAACAGAGCAATACTCAGTCTTAAAAAAAAATAAAATAAAATAAAATGAAAAGATTAAAAAATGAAGAAATGGATAAACGTCTTGAACAGGCACTTCACTAGAAAACGAAACCAGTAGTCACATAAAAAGTTCAATCTCAAGAGCAATCAGAAAGCAAACCCAAACCCAAATGAGGCACTCTTTCCCTCCCTCCACACTGGCCCAGTGAAAACCCTGGGCAATTCCAAGTGTTGGCAAAAACTTAGAGCCAGACACAGGCGCTCATGCCTGGAATCCCAGCACTTTGGGAGGCAGAGGCAGGAGGATCCCTGGAGCTCAGGAGTTTGAGACTAACCTGGACAACACAGGGATGGGCAACACAGGGAGACCCGATCTAAAAAATTAAAATTAGCCAGGCAGGGTAGCACAGGCGTGTAGTCCCAGCTACTTGGGAAGCTAAGACAGGAGGATCGCTTGAGCCCAGGAGGTGGAGGCTGTGGTGAGCTGTGATTGCACCATTGCACTCCAGCGTGGGCCTCAGAGTGAGACTTTGTCTCAAGAAAAAAACAAAAACCATTAACAAAATGAAAACAAAACAGAACGTAGAGGAACCGATTATTATACTGTGCTGGCATGACGTAAATTGCCAGAGTCACAATAAACAAAGCAATTTCATGTTATCAGGTGAAGCTGAGCATATATGTATTTTCTCTCTCCCCCTCTCTCTCTCTCTCTCTCTCTCTCTCTCTCTCTGTCTGTCTCTTTTTATTGAGATGGAGTCTTGTTGTGTCCCCAGGCTGGAGTGCAGTGGTGCAATCTTGGCTCACTGTAACCTCCGCCTCCATGGTTCAAGCGAATTCTCCTGTCTCAGCCTCCTGAGTAGCTGGGACTACAGGTGCATGTCACCACGCCTAGCTAGTTTTTTGTTTGTTTGTTTGTTTGTTTGTTTTGTATTTTAGTAGAGACAGGGTTTCGCCATGTTGGCCAGGATGGTCTCAATCTCTTCACCTCATGATCCGCCCACCTCGGCCTCCCAAAGTGCTGGGATTACAGCCGTAAAATATGTAATATGCGCCAGTAATGTATATGTCTTTTCTGACCCAGCCGTCCTTATCCGTGTGTGCCAGCACACAAGTTTGAAGTCTGAGGATGCTCAAAAGAACTTATTTTTGAATAAACCTAAGCTTGAAACAACCTAAAAGTCCACGAACTGGAGAACAGATGAATACAAAAGAATAGTATGCAGCCTTGAAAAATTCAAACCTTACAGCCACACGCAGCAATATGAATGAATATCAGCAGATTCCTATTGAGCAAACACAACAGATTAGCAGGCTGGGTACATGGCTCACGCCTGTAATCCCAGCACTTTGGGAGGCTGAGGCGGGTGGACTATCTGAGATCAGGAGTTCGAGACCAGCCTGGCCAACATGGTGAAACCCCTGTCTCTACTAAAAATACAAAAATTAGCCAGGCTTGGCAGTGGGGGGTGCCTGTAATCCCAGCTACTCAGGAGGCTGAGGCAGGAGAATTGCTTGAACCTGGGAGTCAGAAATTGCAGTGAGCCGAGATCGTGCCACTGCGCTCCAGCCTGGGAAACAAGAGTGAAACTCCATTTCAAAAAACAAATGAACAAACAAAAACCAGATGAGTAAAGAGTGTGAACAAGGCCAAATGAAGTGGCTCATGCCTGTAATCTTAGCACTTTGGGAGGCCAAGGTAGGCAGATCGTTTGAACCCCAGAGTTCAAGACCAGCCTGGGCAACATGGTGAGACCCTCATCTCTACAAAAAATTTAAAAATTAGCCAGGGCAGGGCCAGGTGGCTCGCGCCTGTAATCCCAGCACTTCGGCCTGTAATCACAGCACTTTGGGAGGCTGAGGTGGGTGAACACCAAGTCAGGAGATTGAGACCATGCTAGTTAACACCGTGAAACCCCGTCTCTACTAAAATACAAAACATTAGCCAGGCATGGTGGCTTGCGCCTGTAGTCCCAGCTACTCCGGAGGCTGCGGCAAGAGAATCGTTTGAACCCAGGAGGTGGAGGTTGCAGTGAGCTGAGATCACATTACTGCACTCCAGCCTGGGTGACAGAGCGAGACCCCATCTCGAAAAAGAAAATTAGCCAGGCGTTGGGGTGCATGCCTGTTGTTCCTGGTACTTAGGAGGCTGAGACGGGAGGACTGCTTGAGCACTGGAGCTCCCACCACTGCACTCCAGCCTGGGTGACACAGAGAGACCTTGTCTCAAAAAAATAGAAACATACAAAAGGTAACTATGTATCGTTCGCTGACAACCATGTGGTAAACTGTAAGGAAAAGGAAGGAACGAGAAACAAAATTTGTGATGGTTCTTCCATGAGCAGGGAAGGGTGACGAGATTGGGGAGGAGCACTCGGGGTCTTCCATTGCGATGATAACGTTTTTGTTTTTTATCCAAGCCTGTCTTTGCTGCTCCTTAGAGCTTACCTGTCTCTAATTGATGTTTAATAAAAATTTAAGACCAGGTATGGTGGCTCATGAGCCATCCCAACACTTTGGGAGGCCGAGGTGGAAAGATCACTTGAGCCCAGGAGCTTGAGACAGCCTGTGCAACATGGTGAAACGCCGTCTCTAAAAATAATACAAAAATTTGCTGTGCGAATTTTTTTAAAAATGTAAATCAGGGAGAGCTACAAACATGGTTACCATTAGGCATTAAGATTACAGCTGAGGTGGCTCACGCCTGTAATCCCAGCACTTTGGGAGTCCGAGGCGGGTGGATCACGAAGTCAAGAGATCGAGACCATCCTGGTCAACATGGTGAAACCCCGTCTCTACTAAAAATACAAAAATTAGCTGGGCATGGTGGTGCACGCCTGTAATCCCAGCTATTCAGGAGGCTGAGGCAGGAGAATTACCTGAACCCAGGAGGTGGAGGTTGCGGTGAGCCGAGATCGCGCCATTGCACTCCAGCCTGGATAACAAGAGCGAAACTCCGTCTCAAAAAAAAAAAAAAAAAAAGAAAAGAAAAGATTACAACTGAGGCCAGACAAGGTGGCTCACGCCTGCAATCCTCCCAAAATCCTTTGGGAGGATTTTGGAGTATTTGGGAGGCGGAGGTGGGCACATCTCTTGAGGTCAGGAGTTCGAGATCAGCCTGGCCAACATGGTGAAACCCCATCTCTATTAAAAATACAAAAAAAATTAGCCAAATGTGGTGGCACACGCCTGTAATCCCAGCTACTCGGGAGGCTGAGGCAGCAGAATGGCTTGAACCTGGGAGGTGGAGGTTCCAGTGAGCTGAGGTCATGCCATTGCATTCTAGCCTGGGCAACAGATCGAGACTCCATCTCAAAAAGGAAAATTACAACTGGTTTCACTTGTTAACTCATGTAGTAGTTAAGCAACTTTGTGAGGCAGGGCTTGTTACCATCCACATTCTACAGGTGGGGAAACTAAGGCACAAAGAGGTCACATGACCTGCCCAAGGTCAGCCTTGTGATGATTGGCAGAGTTGGGTTTTGAACAATGGCGTCACTCAAATAACTCCATGCACCTGCTGGATTTGTGAGGCTCCTTCATGTGGACTGGGGGTAGGAGACAGCCGTTCACACTTTCAGGTGGGGCTCAGCCGTTCACGCTGTTTCAGGTGGGGCTCAGCCGCTCATGCTGTTTCAGGTGCTGGCGATACAGCGAGCAGGGCAAGGACCCACAAGGAACTGCCCAGTTAGATACGTGGGGAGGGGGCTGGGCGCAGTGGCTCACGCCTGTAATCCCAGCACTTTGGGAGGCCGAGGTGGGTGGATCACCTGAGGTCAAGAGTTTGATACCAGCCTGGCCAACATGGTGAAACCTCATCTTTACTAAAAATACTATATATATATATTAGCTGGGCATGGCGGCTCCTGCTTGTAGTCCCAGCTACTCAGGTAGGCTGATGCAGGAGAATTGCTTGGACCCAGGAGGCGGAGGTTGCAGTGAGCCAAGATCGCACCACTGCGCTCCAGCCTGGTAACAGAGGGGCACTCCATCTCAAAAAAAACCACAAAAAAACAAAAAACAAAACGATGTGGGGAGCGGTGGTGAGCAGAGTTTCACTGGGGTCAGGACCCAATCAGAGGAAGGGATGGGGGTGGAGTCCGGAGAGGAGGCACAAAGGCTCAGCTTGGAGCAGTCAGGGAAGGCTTCCTGGAGAAGGGCATATTTAGATAAGACATTAATGGATGAATAGGAGTTTTCCAGTTACACAGTGGCATAAAGGGTGGGATCCAGTCAGAGTGTAGACAAGGACCCCTGGGCTGGGTGGCTTAGAGCCAGAAAGAGAGACCTAGACAGGATGCAGTAGAGCTGCAGAAAGACTGTACAGAGAGAGGCTGAGAGACAGACGTGACTGAGGGACAGCAGCGGACAGAGTCAGAGGAACAGAGACCCAGGGAGAGAAAGAGACCGAGCCGCAGAGTCAGAGAGACAGAGACGCAGAGACAGAGGAAGACGGATCCTCAGGGAACAGGGCGATCTGCCCGTTGTGGGTGCCGGGTGTACACACAGCAGCTTGCATTTGCCTGTACTTGCTTGAGAATTGCAGGGAGGAGTTTACCCGGGTTATCAGGGCTGGAGTGTCCGTGCATAGGTTGAGGGGCACACGCACAGGAGGAAACCTGCGTGGGGACCGCCCTCGCCCCGTGTCCCCAGGCAACGAGGAGGTCTGGGGCGGGGCGCCCCTTCCCGGAGCCAGGCCCTTTAACGCCCCCCCAGCCCGCAGCGCCCCCGCCCCATCAGGCGTCCCTGGGCCCCGCCTGCCCACCCCGCATCAGCGCCACGTCAGGCGCTGTCCGCGCCCCCGGTGCTGAACCAAGATGGCCGGTGGCGGCCGGGCCCCGGCGTGAGCCGAGCGCGGGCTGCAGCCGGGAGATGCCCCAGCCCAGCGGCCGCTGAGCCCGACCCGACAGACCCGGCCCGGCCGCCTCCGGCCCGCCTGCGAGCCCGGAGACATGTCTCTGCTTTGCGTTGGAGGTAGGAGGCGAGGCTGGGGGTCGGGGAACCCGTGTGGACGCGGGCTGGGCTCGGGGTCCGCGTGGATGCGGCTCCTGGGGGAATCCTGGGGTGGGTGGGTGACCAGAGTCCAGGCGGCTGGACTTTTGAGAGGGGTAGCCCTTGTCGACGTGGCAGGACGCCGGAGGCGGTGATCCGTGTAGAGGTGGGGTGCGGGGGGGGGCTGTCGGTGGTCGCGGTGGCCGCTGCTGGAGGGGTCGTGTGGACGCGGCTGAACGCGGAGGCCCGTGTGGACGCGGACGGGGATTGGGGTTCTAGACTTGGGCGTCTGTGTAGACCGGGTTTTTAGAGGGTCGGTGAGGAAGAGTCTGGGCTGGGTAGTTTGATTGAAGCCTTCGGGGTACTTGGAAGGGGTCTGGTGGTGTGGACTGGGTTGCCGGTCCTCATGGAGGCGGACCCGGCTGGAAATTGGAACCGAGTGCGGCGGGAGCGTTCTCCAAGCCCTGGGGATGTAAGATATGGGAAGGGGGGCTTGGCCATCAGGACATCCACGAGTTCTAGGACTCCCCCAGCCCTGGGTGTAGAGAGGACTGGAGTGGGGGGAGTGGGGAGACAGGAGATTCCTCCCAACGTCCAGGGAGGGCTGTGACTGAGGGTCTGGGGGCGCTTTCCCAGTTAACTCTTTGGCCACCCGAATGGGGGTGGGAGGAATGGCCAGGTCTTCCCGCTCCCCGCCCCTCCGGTTCTCCCAAACACGTTTCAGGGCCTTCTCGGCAGGGAGCCTACTTCTTGGAAGAGCAATGTCCCCTGGTCCCCCTCCCGGCCCTTCCTCACCTCACCCACTTTGCGCTGGAGAGAGGGAGGGCAGGAGACGTGGTGGGGGAGCTATTTTGGGGCCAGAACGCCATCTGCACAGAGGCCCACGCCCAGGCCCACGCTCTGCGTTGGGGTTGGGGGAGGGAGGGAGACGTGGGAGGGGCATGACCCCCCCCACTCCACACCTTTATGGCTCTGGGGATGAGGAGAAGCCAGCCCACCCGAACCCAGGCGTTCTGGGCACTCCTGTTTGAGAACTCAAGCTCTGAGAGACCTTGGTAGCAGGGATGGGGATGGACCGCCGTTCAACGCCTGCAGAGCTCTGAACCCTGGTTCTTAAGGCCTGGGGTCCCCCTCATTCCCACACTCTTTAAGAAGGCTAGGGTGGGCGAAGGGGTGTGTCGGCCAAGCCTGAGACGTCGGGCTTCGGGAGCGCGTGTGTGCTGAACTCTGGCAGCCTGGACCCGGGGTGGGCAGGCAGGGGAGCCGGGAACCGCCCCCGCCGCCCCTCCTCCTCCCTCCCCTCCCCCTCGGCCGCTTCATTCACAAACCCTGCCCCGCCCGCCCGCCCGCTCCCCGCCGCCGCGGCGGCTTTCCGAGTGCAAATCAGGCCGGGCTGGGCCGGCGTGGACGCGGGTGCTCTTAAAGGGACAGTGGGGGCCTCCTTTCTCTGAGCTCGTTTCTGTTGGACGGGACTGGGGGTGTTGGAAGAAGAGTCCCTAGAGTCAAAGGCCAACTTTTCCAGCCCCTGGCCTCCCGGCCTATGGAGTTCCCGGGGTAGGGAAGTGAAGGAGACCCCTAGGCGCCCCCCACCGCCTAGGCCTGAGGACGGAAGGAGAGGGGAACAAGAATGTCCAGACCCCCTGCTGACCTCTCCCTCTGCTCTAAGTTGCGGGCTTTTAGGGGTGGCACGGGAGGAGGTTCCGACGTGGGTGTTCCTGACCAACTTCTCCATCCTCTCTCTTCTCCCCCCCAGCACCCTGCCCCATCCCTCCTCACATCCTCCAAGTTGGGTTTCTCTGGAAGGATTGCCTAGTAGAGTGGGGGGAGGCGGGGATCTCACCCTTAACTCTGACGCAAACTGGAGGCTTGGCTGCGGGGGTGGCATTCAGGGAGGGGCAGCAGGAGGCAGGAGGGATGAGGCTTCCAGAAACAGAGGCGTCGGGGGAGGACTGGGCTGGATTCTGTGGACTTCATAGGGAGGTGTCGCCGCCTGAGTGGAATGGAGTCGCTGGGAGGGGCAAGGCTGGGGAAGAGGTTGAGCAGGGTGGGAGGTGAGGCCCACAGGTGTAAAGGGAGGTGTGAGTTTGGAGTGAGGAGGCAGGGAGCGTGGGGAGAGGGAGAAGCGCTGGGTGAGGCCAGCCTCCCAGAGAGAGGTGGGACGAGCCCCCAGAGGGGAGGGGCTGGGATGGCTGAGCCCTAGCCGAGAGTGTTGGGGTGGGCTTGGCTGCAGTGAAGCTAGGCTGAGATGGGTTGTGCGTTGCCTGAGCTCATCCTTCGAGTTGAGGAAATACCTGCCCTCCCCCTCCACAGGGACTCACAGGCGTTAGCCAATCTCTACACACATTCATACCCAGACTTATGCCTGTGTGGACACAAATGTTTAGGATGCATAAGGCTCCACGCGGACCATGTGCCTGGAAAGGCACGCTCCATAGGCACACGTGTGCACTCACAAGCCTGTGTGAACACAAGCGTACACATGTATATAGGACACAACCTGCTGAGGTAGACATGGTCCCGGCAACACACGTGTGTGTGTGTGTGTGTCTGCCAGCACACATATAGAGGTATCCACGTGTGTTTGAGGAATATTCACAATATACATGTCACATAAGGATTCACTCATATCCAACCAAGCGTGGTGGCTCAGGCCTGTAATCCCAGCACTTTGACTTTGGGAGGCCAAGGTGGGCGGATCACTGGAGGTCAGGGGTTTGAGACCAGCCTGGCCAACATGGTGAAACTCTGTCTCTACTGAAAAATACAAAAAATTGGCTGGGTGTGCTGGTGTGCACCTGTAATCTCAGCTACTCGGGAGGCTGAGGCAGAAGAATCACTTGAACATGGGAGTCGGAGGTTTGCAGTGAGCTGAGATCCTGCCACTGCACTCTCGCCTGGGCAACAAAGTGAGACTGTGTCTCAAAAAAAAAAGGCCGGTGCGCTGGCTCACACCTGTAATCCTAGCACTTTGGGAGGCCAGGGCAGGTGAATCACGAGGTCAGGAGTTGAAGACCAGCCTGACCAATATGGTAAAACCCCGTCTCTACTAAAAAGACAAAAAAAAAAATTAGGCGGCGTAATGGTGGCATGCCTGTAGTCCCAGCTACTCAGGAGGCTAAGGCAGGAGAATTGCTTGAACCCAGGAATCAGAGGTTGCAGTGAGCTGAGATCAGGCCACTGCACTCCAGCCTGGGCCTGGAGAGAGACTCGGTCTCAAAAAAAAAAAAAAATAATCCACTCATGTCCTCACGCTCAGACATGTACCCATACGTACCTGTTATGGTCCCCAACCCCTTAAAGCACACATATATTCACATAAGCACATGTCAAGGCCACGTATGCATATGACAACACTTGCCTGGACATTCCAAGCAGCCCCTTTCTACAAGGGGATGATGACGCATACAAGTAAATACACATCTGGGTGTGCATGTATGTAGGTAAACAGATACAGTTGCCACAGAACTGCATCCATGCAAACATCAGTACATGTGGTTTTCACCTGACACATCACCCACAAGCTCACACACACAGTGTGTCTCTGACGTAGTGACACCCCCCTCCCAGAAACGCATGTGCAGACTCCCCCCTGCACTTAAGGGGCACACATGCTGTGCACACATGCACGCTCATATCCGTGTACAGGCACGCACTTGCCTGACCTGGTAACATGAGCCAGCTACTGCTGCAAATATCCAAGCAAGTACAGGCAAATGCAAGCTCTCGTGTATACACCCAGCACCAACACACAGCCGATCACCCTGTATGGTGTATGGGCCTTATCTCTGCCCCCTCTTCATTTTTTTATCCGTGTGGAGCCCCGATGCTCTCCAACACCTTAATCCATTCGCTAAATCTTAGCAGCATCCTGAGGCTGTGGATGGCAAATGCCACCTGGTTCCTTCATGAAGTCACCCATTTTATTTACTCAGCAAGCATTGAGCACCTACTGTATACCAGGCACCTACTGTATACCTGGCTCTGGGGACCCAGCTCTATTCCTAGTCACCACCCTCGCATCTCCCATGAGGTTAGAATGAGAGATAAGGGAGGGCTAAGGGAGCTGAGGAGTGGGTTATCCAGGGCTCTCTTCCTCTGGGAAGCCCGCCACGATTTCACCACCACCATTTACTTGAGTCTCAGATATGATGAGGGGAAGATGAGCAGGAGGGAGATGTATTCTGTGTGGAGGAAGCAGCATGAGTAAAGGCATGGTGGTGGGGAGGGTTGGTTCCAGCTCTTCCTATGTGCCTCACAGCATTTTGCATAGGCCACTTGATGTTTTGAGACAGGGTCCCACTCAAAGCCTGTTACTCAGGCTGTGGTTCATCGGCATGACCTCACCTCGCTGCAGCCTTTACCTCCAGGGCTCAAGTCATCCTCCCACCTCAACCTCCCGAGTAGCTGGGACTACAGGCACGCACCACCACGCCTGCCTAGCTGTTATTTTTTTTATTTTTTACAGAAACAGGGGTTTGCCCTGTTGCCCAGGCTGATCTTGAACTCCCGGCCTCAAGTTATTTGCCCTTCTCAGCCTCCCAAAGTGCTGGGATTATAGCCATGAGCCACCACACCCAACTGATGTTTTAAAGGCTCCACAAACATTTTACGAATAAATGACATGAACAAATCATTGAATTTAGGCGGGGGCGGGTTTGCTTCACAACTTATAACAGTAACAATTATAAACCTCATTTATCCATTCAGCTCTGTGTGTGTGTGTGTGTGTGTGTGTGTTTTGTTTTTTTGAGACATGGCCTCACTCTGTCACCCAAGTTGTAGTGGAGTGGTGTGATCTTGGCTCACTGAAATCTTCGCCTTCTAGGTTCAAGCGATTCTTCTGCCTCAGCCTCCCAAGTAGCTAGGATTACAAGCATGTGCCACCAGGCCTGGCTAATTTTTGTATTTTTAGTAGAGATGGGGTTTCTCATCTCTAGTGGCCAGGCTGGTCTCAAACTCCTGACGTCAAGTGATCCTCCTGC